TTGGAATCTATAAACCGACACGCGGGCTTGACGTCACGGGGCTGCGGCGGCGCTGCGATCGCGCCGGATCCGGGGGGTGTGGGCAAAAGCGCGCACGTTTCGCATGAGCGTCATAGCATTTCAGTATGCCGCGAAGCTGTGTTGCCGTTAATTGCGCCAAAATGTACAAGAAAAGCAGCGGGGTGAGTTTCCACAAGTTCCCGGCAGACTCTGAAAGGCATAGAAGGTGGATAATATCCGTGGATCGAAAAGAATGGTCGCCTCGCGCGAACGACCGTTTTTGCGGCTAACACTTTCTTGAAGGCAAGTGCGGCTTTCATTTCAATCTCCGTCCCGAGGCTTGCTTATGCGCAGGAAAACCGTCGTCTGATCGAGACCACCTGGATTTTGTTACCATGATTTTCTCGCACAAAGCACCTTCCAAACGCTCGTCGGAGGCTCGCTACGCACGCGCTACCCAGCAAAAGGGGATCGGCGACAGAACGGCAGTGTTGTAGGCGTTACCGAAAAAAAGTAACGAAATACGTTACTCGTTACTTGCAAATAAAAGGTACGCGTTACTGAGCTACGTTACCTGAAAATAAAAGGAACGCATTACCGCTAGCGATAAAAAGTAACGCACGGTTTACTTCTGCTTTACTTTTTAAAATTATGATTTAACACATTTTACGGTTTCGACTGTACAGCTCATACACCAAGAAACATTATGTTCATACAGAGACTTAACGTAATTACTTTATCTTTTTTTACGGCTTCACCTAAATACTTACGAGAAAAAACGCAAAGAAAAACATGGTTTGACGTTTAAAACACGGAAAAGATTGAAGTGTAATTTCTATAAGACTTGTGAAGTAGTAACAAGTAACGTAACTACGTTACTTGAAATAGTAACATAGGTGCGTTACCCGTTACTGTGTCGAAAACGTAACGGGTGGGTTACTACGTTACTGAAAAAGTAACGCGTTACCAACAACGCCGTTACTTGTAACCTGTTACCGCCAAGACTGGAGAACGGACAAAGCGTTACTGCTTGTCATGCCTTGTGGTCATGAGGGTAGGAAAAATAGCATACCTTGACTTGAAGACGCTGTGTATATTTAATCAATTAATGAATACACACACTTCCGCAGACCCACAGTCTGCTTATCCCGCCGGCAGTGCGGAAACTGACTCGAAGTAATCGTAGACCTCGAGAGACTTGTACGCCTGCACCGTGTCGGCCGTGAACTGGCTTGGCGAAAAAACTAAATAAACAACGACGTGAGCCGTCGACTTCCGTGGCAGCAACTTTACGTCGAAAGTCCAGCAGGCCTTGTTTACGGCGTAAGAATCCTCGCAGGCCACGCCGTCCACTTACAGTTTGTTTCGATACCGCTGCCGTTCTGGCTCGGGCAACGAGCTCAAATAGTCGGGCATAGCATACGACATATGTTGTGAGGATATACGACGCACAAATAAAGCTAAAAGCGTTCCTACAACGTCAACAACGAGCGCACGCCATAGAACGCAATGGCGAAAACACGGAGAGCCGGTGTGCTTTTGCCCACATAGCTACCGCGCATGCGCGGCCTTCCGGCCGTGTTGGTAAACAGAGCCGCTCCGCGCGTCGGTCTATACTGAGATGGATTCCACCGCGTCGCGAAAAGTGGAACCCTCGCGAAATATTCTAAAACTTCAGGTTTGACCTAAATCACGACATATTGAGCCCGCAAAAAATAAGTCGTTTACAGTATTATGTGATTAAAAGTAATACCATGAAAGGATATTCTACTAAAAGTCACGCGTCCTATAAAGAGCAAAATACCAAACATTGTTCCAGAAAGGCAGGCGTTCAAGAATGACACAGATTACTAAGCCAGAATGCGTCTAAAATATAAAGAAACGGTATAGGGGCCGAGACCAACAGTTTCTTATTAGTACAAAATACGTCTCAGCATCTTTTTTTTTTTTTTTCAACTTTGCCCAAAAACATTTGGCTAAAAAGATCAGGCGGCAAGTGAGAAAAAAAAAATGAAAGACGCTTACAATTCTCTGTGATGCCAAATTAGAGCGCAGCTCTTGAGGAGAGTAGGGGAGCTAGGGTACGCAGGGGATGGTATGCCCCTGTTTCCTCTCCTACTCCCCTCCCATTAAGCAGGAAATTTTCGATAAATTTCCCGCTAAATTAAGCGAAAATTTCCCTGCTAAATTCAGTGGGGAACTTTTCCCACTAAATTTAGCGGGGAAACTTAGCGAAAATATTCCTGCTGAATTTAGTGGCGAAACTGAATGGGTCACTCAAAATTCTTACAAAAGCAGCCGCTTCGGTGGCTGGAACGACCAAGGCATCCTCTCAACATCAGCCTCGCAGTAGCTTTACTAGTCCCGACTCCCGAGACGAACTACGTCACGATTGCGTTGGATGTCACGTGCTCTTCACTGGCTGTTCTCCGAGCGCTTGCCAGAGTGGGCCATTTATAACGAAATATATAGCCACCAGTTTTAAAATACAAACGTGCGATTGTCATTCACGGATATTTTGGATCACATTCAACCTATTTTTGAACACGACAGATGTATTTCAAATTTCGTTGAAGTATCCTTTAAAGTCATAATTACAGTGTCGTCAGCGAATTGGTATAGCTTACGACCCGGTACTATAGTGGCGATGTCATTAACAAAAATGTTAAACAAAAAAGGGGATAGAATCGACCGTTCTGGTATTCCGGCTTTTAGTTCAGTTCGATAATTCTGAAAATTAGATACGGACACTCGTTGGAGGGCGATGAGAAAGACGGTTTTCAAGAAGTTAATAACACGAACCGCTAAAGCCTATAGGCTGTACAATTTCTTCTTTAATTTTAATTTTCATAAGCATTAACCTAATTTAAATAAGCATAAGAACAATCGCGGAAGGTGTGCGATGAGTACAAGAAGCTGCAGCGCGAGTGTATAGCTGCAATGTCATTGAGCTTTATATACGTTCTCCAAGTATCCTTGTTTATGAAGTCAATTAAAGTAGAAGTTTGGGCTAGTTGGTATTTCATGATTAAAGATTAAAACAGCGCAAGGACACGGACAAGAACAAGAAGGTAGACAAACAAGGCGCTGACTTACAACTGAATTTTATTCGTTCTAACAGCGAGTATAAATACTGTATTGTCACAACAAACAAACATGAATAAAAAGCTTCACCTGGATGCCACGTGCTCACTAGCCATCGCTATGCACTGTCACTGTTTGTCTAAATAGGAACGTTCCTTATCTGACAAAGATAGTGACGGAATGCTGACACAGTTTTGCCCCAATCTTCCAATTTCCCGCGCCTCAGTTATAAAGTCAGTCAATAACGAGCATAAATCGCGAGGGTTTTGTATCGGACTCATCGTCACGTTTACGCTCATGACTACTTCGTCTAAGGCAAGTAGACCGATTTCAACCCGGTGCCGATGCTCCGATTGGGTTATCACTGCAAGGTATGCAATCACTCCGTGGCATGGGAAGGGTACGAAAACGTCTACGTGCCACCACTCAAGATGCAGCTGTCAAATGACGAGAGCTTACCTGCATAGACTACATTAAGCTGTTCATGTATTACTTCGTTCCAGAAACTCAACTAAAACGCTCCACCGTCTTCGTCCTCGCTATTTCGGGGAGGCAAGGAGATGGCCTGTCATTAGTCACCTCGATTCAACAGGGCAAGTGCCAGTCATACCCAAAATAGCCAAGTCTAGCCAAGTTCCCCCCATACCAACACCACTGCCTACCCACACAGCTGTGCTCCGACACCCAGCCGGTATTTCGTTTTAACCCGCTATAGACGGAGTCGCCGGCACCGCAAAATTCAAAATGACGGCGCCCTAAAAATAATAAAAATGTTTTTAGATAGCGAAGGATAGTCCATAGCGGTACCGGGGTAGCGGTACCGGCGTAGCATAGCGGTACCGGCGTAGCATAGCGGTACCGGAATGCGGTCGTGTATCACTACTGCGTGGTGCACGTTAAAGACCCCCAGGCTAGCAGTCGTACCGCACTGGCTAAACTGCTCATCTACAGTGGGTAACAGTGTCGCCATGTTCTGGCAGACTAAACTCCCGCCGTATAAATAACTAAAGACGAACCTTTTTCTTATTTTTTAATAGTGGTGCGCAAAAAATAATCTAAATCACGCACCAAAACCAGTTGGAATCAGATAATGAGAACGGTAAGGTTCTAGGCAATTGGCGACGTGAGCGATCGAAAGCGTCGCTGTGGTCGGCCCACCACAATTGGCCGAATGCTGACTATGACGTCACCAAAGGGTGTCTCATCAACGGAAATAAGAGGAATGTGAGAATTTCAATTTTGACGGTGTTGGCAGTGTTGTTTTGAGAGTGCTATTATTTTAGGCTTCCACCATGCCCATTACAAACACCACCGAACTTCTTGTTCACAAGGTAATGACGTCACGAAAGGTAACCGAACGAGGGCGCCACCGAAACATCTCGCCGCTAATAACGCTCTGAAGCCCACATTGTGATACTGTGTGTTTGATAGTCTTCTTTATCACTCCCCGAAACTTGTGTTTAATGTCTTTCAAATACATTTAAATGATCGCTCCTTAAAAAGCCACTGAAAAGAAGAAAAACAATTTTCTACTGTCTAATTGGGACACGGGCGTAAAAAAAATATTTTTACGCAAAAAAAAAAACAAAAAAAACTGGAGCAATATTGACGGCGAGAGGTTAATTTTAAATTCTGGCCGCGAAGTGCATGACGTCACGGAATGGTCATTCGCTCTTTCCACCTCAACGTGAAGGGGAAGCCGATCCACCTCTCCTCCTCGTGCCCGAAATGCCGAGAGAGAAGACAAGTGAAAAGGAAATGACTACCGACTGAATCACGTCACGCGCCATGTATTCCATGTATTATATTTCATGTATGCATTCCATGTATTATATTCACATGCATTCCACGTATTATATTCATATGGATATCACGAGAAATGTTGCTAATTACTTTTTGACTTAACCTCGTCGGCGTCTTCCTTTCAGGTTTGGGGCCGGGTCTGAGCGGCGGTGAGCAGTTCGGCCTCGGTCCCGGCCGGAGCCAGCTCCACGGCAGCGCTGGAGGACCCGGAGGCGCCACGGGTCCCTTAGGGTTCCCGCTGCCGGCCACCTTCCCGTGGGCGGCAACGGCCAGGGGCAAGCCCCGGCGCGGCATGATGCGCAGGGCAGTCTTCTCGGACGCCCAGCGGCAGGGTCTCGAGAAGCGCTTCCAAATTCAGAAGTACATCAGCAAGCCGGACAGGAAAAAGCTCGCCGAGAAGCTCGGACTCAAGGACTCGCAGGTGAGCAGAGGCGTCGCAGACGCGGTACTCGAAACTCCGCTTAATTCGAACGAAAATGAGGGTTGCTTTTTTTTGGCGGTTCAAGCCAACACTCTGTTTCACGATACGATGGCAGACCACGGAAGCTGCAATAATCCCGGTGAACCAACGTTTCGGGTCACGATGTCCGTCGAATCAAACCGTCCAACGAGTCTGAGTGTCCATCGAGTTAAAATGGCCATCGAGTCAAAGTGTCCATCCAGTGGCAATGTCCAACAGGTCACGTGATACGCGTGCCAAAACGTCCACCGAGAAAAAAAAATGTCTAACGAGGTCAAAGCGTGTAACTAGACGATAGGAAGTTTTAGTATAGGGGGCCTCGACGCTTTGGGCCCCTCAAGCAGTTTGGGGCGTCCCGCTGCAAGCGCATGCCCAGACGTTGTGCGCGTTCTCTGCGCGACGCTTTACACTGCATGCTCGGGAAACTGAAGAGCCCGTATTACAGACAGTTCCCGTCTGTTCTTTTGGGTCACGTGGTTTGGGCCCCATTTACAGTACGAGCTAGCTGCGAGCAGGTAACGAAAGCCTTGGTCGTCTGCACTGATCTCTATGACAATTGCTGGATCGCGTTTGCCCGCTCCGCGAATGCGGTCACTGGCGGCCATCTTTAGGTAGAGTTATATCACCTCTAGCCAATGTAAGCTGCTGCAGCCGCTATCATCCATCCATGGCAGATAGCGTTTTGGCAGGTGGGTTGGCAGGCTGCGGTCAAAATAGCGTAAGTGATATTGCGTGCTTGATTAAAATTATTTGACGAAACATGTTTTTGAAACCCGGCGTGAACAGTAGTCTGGTTTTTGAGGACCTGGTAAAAGTTTCACGAAATCGCAGCACCGGGAGAAAAGCAGCACAACACGTACCGAAAGTCGCATCGAAAGAAGCATCGAAAGCAGACGACGGTACGGAGTCTGCTTTTGATGCGAGCTGCGCTGCTTTCCCCCGGTGCTGCGCTTTCGTAGAACTTTTGCCGGGTCCTCAAAGATGAGGCTACCGTTCACGCCGGGTTTCAAGAATCTGCTTCGTCGAACAACTTCAGTCAAGCACGAAATGTCACCCACGGTACAGTGTACTAGATCTACGGCTATTTTTATGGCAGCCTGCGGCCATTGCGCTGTTTGCCATATTACTATGGTGGCTAGAGATGATATAACTCTACCTAAAGATGGCCGCCAGTGACCGCATTCCGGTCCATAGGAGGAGCTGGTCAAACGCGATCCAGCAAATAGACATAGAGGTCAGTGGTCGTCTGCAAACACCTCCGCCTTTCCTCCTCACCACGTGAAAACGCAGCGCATGCGCATTTGCAACCAATCGACGCTGGAGGTGCGCACGCCATTACATGGCAAACGTTTCCCGTGGTCTAAGATGGACACCTCTCTTCAGTCTATTAGGCTCTTTACGGGCACGTTTTGTGTAAAGCGCTGGCGCGCTCAGAAAAAGGTGTGATGTCAGTTCGGACAGAACAATTATAGCTGAGTTCATTTGACCAGACTTAGCGGCGGAAGAAAAGGTCAGAGAACCACGGCACTGTCTGAAGTACTGCACCGCCGTACCGCTGACAACGTAAGACAAGCGGGGCGTTGTTCGTCCCGATCACGTTGTTCTCGGGCGGCAGCCAATGAGGTTGCAACGCACGCGCCAATATAAGACTGAAGTTGTATTTAGGATAATCGGTTACTCTTGAAGATTGACACAGGTCGGTGAAACACACCAGACAACGCGCTAACGGTAAGAACTCTCAGTGAAGACAATTTGTTTTTCTTCTCTTTCGCGATTAAGCAGTTAAATAATAAAAAATGAATCAGAGGAACGATGGGGGTTGTAATTATATGTAAACCGCAAACGTGTATAAACAGAAACAAATGAAGGCTATGGACGCATCCCACGCTATATAAACCCACCGCTCCTATTCATGCGTCAGTAACCCCCACCCCCGGAAAAAGGCTTAATATTAACTGCGGTAATAGTTAGTTAGCCGCAGAAGCCCATAAATTCAGTATGGCGCGCGGCTGTTCGCTCTGATGAGCAATAAAGCGTTTAATCGCCGATGGCGAAGAACCCCGCCAAGAAACAAACAGGGTGAAAGGGAATAAACAACACTCCCATTAAGAAGGCCAAAGCAACAACATCTAATAAGAAGGAAGTAAAAGGGCGGCACAGAAGCACCGCAGCGAGCACCTTACCCCCCCCCCCCCCCCCCCCTTCTCCGTCTTTCAACCGATCGCAAAGTTAATCGAGAAACCCGATACAACAGCAGGAACACGTGACCGCTGCCGACCAGGACACAATAGACACTCAAGTTCACTTCGTTGTCCGATATAAGGCAACAAAAACAAAAACAATGAAGATTCTAAAGCAGTTAACAAAGCCCAACAAAAAAAAAAAGAAACAATCAAGAAAGCTAAAGCCTAAGGTACCTTTTTCTCTTTTCCTTTCCTGTTTTAAACGCTCACACCCTCTCTTCCGAGGCGGGCAAAAAAAAGAAAACGCGATGTATCGTGTAACGAGGCCCCTCACATTTTTATTACGCCCGGTTGCCTCATCGGACGGAAGGTAACTCTATTCCGCTGTGGGTGGGGTCAGTGCCGACGCTTTTGCGATGAAGACATTAAGGGGCGGGCAACACCTCCGCCATAATTCATGACGGCGGCGGCGGCCCCGGTTGAGGTGGCGCCCTCTCTTGGAGGGAAGCGACATGAAAAAGAAGCACCAAGATGGCAGGCGATCGTGACCGCTTCGACGATCTATCTGCGCACATGCCGCCACGTTGTTTTATGGAGAAGGGAGACCTGCCTACAAAAGGCCCATAAATATCCACGATAAAGCGTTCCCAAAGCCTCGCCGCCTAGGCCTAACTGGTTCTTCATCTCCTCTCCCGGAGGGCGAACCTCCCTTGCCAGCTTTGGTAGGCTGTGCCGAGAACGCGTTTAAGAGTGAAGAAGATGGACACGCCCACAGCCTTCCATCTTCTTCAGGCATGTCCTTTCTGTTTAAAAATATTGTTATGTTTGTTTGCAGCGCACACGTCGTGCCCGTGACTGAGTGCCTTTGGGATGAAGGAGGCGTTTATTGCGAAACATCTTCATTAAACGTGTACCGCTAAAGAACGCTGTTTTGTTTTCTATATTTTCAAGTGGACACGCGTATCTAGTAAACAACAAATCTAATAGAACAAAAGATTATCTACGTGCACAAAATCAGACACAATCTTATACACATTTTTTTCTTTTTATTTATTGTAATTTTTGATGTAATTTTACGTATTTTCGAGGAATACAAGACATTTAAAACGAAAATAGAGTAATAAACGTCTCCAAACCTATAGACGGGGTCGGTGGCGGTGTGTGTAATCCAAAGCTCGCGCTGCACAACCCTGGTATCGAGTGTTCAATTCCCATTTCCCGTTTCCAATTTCGACGATCTAGCTCAGGGGGTTTCGAAACGTTTTGGCTAAGGTGCCGGATGGGAGACCTGACGCTGTGTCGAGAGCGGGAAAATTTAAGACAATATAAACGAGGAAACACTAAACAAATAAGCCTGAATAAGCATTTTATTACAGAAATAGAATCTATAGAAAAATTCAAAAAGAAATTGAAGATGGATTAATACATTAACTTTATTTTGAAACGTAATAGGTTGCTAATTATGGCACTGTAAAATAATTGTAACAGAGAACTCCCCAGGCATAAATCAAATCGTGTTTGGCAACGAACTCAGCGACGCCATCTGTTGGGCAGCTCCGGCACACTTCTGGTTCACGCATAGATTCTTTTTTTTTTTTCTTTTTTTTTTTACTCGGAACCGGAAGTGGTTGGGGACTATTTGCACACTGGCGCCACCACGTTTCAACTCACGCAAGAAAGAGCGAATACACACGGGGCAGAAGACCGTAATAAGAACGGTAGATCTGGTGATGATAATGTCCAAAGTGATGACACATGACTAAGCACGATACAGATGAGAATTCGCAAAGGAATGTTATCATAGTTGCACAAAAATGCCTGTGATGACAATGAACAATAAATAATCATATGGCAAAAAATCCCGCGTTGTCATGCAGTTTTTTTTTTCTCATTTTTGCTTAAATTTTTGGTCGCACTGTCGGTGCGCGTCGCGGCGTCGTTTCATTAAAGCATGAAAAGATTTCTAACGCGACCCCCCCCCCCCCCTTCCCCCTTCCCTAATCTAAAATTTTTGTCCGTTCGTACATACGTCCGTCCGTCCGTGCCCTGCTAAATTTAGCGGGAAACTTGATGTCACAAGCCCTATACACGAATTCAGTTTCTCAGTTAAATTTAGCGGGAAAATTGATGTCTCGAGCCCTATACACGAATTCTATTTCTCCGCTAAATTTAGCGAGAAGCATTGACGTCACGTGACCTATACATCAATTCAGTTTTCCCGCTAAATTTGGCGGGAAAGTGGCGTCACATAACCTATGTACACCTTGGGGAAACTGGCAACATGTCACCATACACGTCAACTCAGTTTCCCGCCGCGGGAAAATGTACGTCTTGTGGCCAAAATATCAATTCAGTTTCCCCGCTAAATTTAGCGAGAAAATATTCGTCATGTGGCCCACCAGTTCCCTATAGTACCTTGAATGCATTATATGAAACTTTAAGCGCAAAAATCGCTGCCACTTTTTTTTTCGCGCGTTTATTTTTGTTTACATGTAGGAGCTTTTGCAGTACTGGAGCACTGCGAAGATATGTATTATGCAGTAGCCTTGACAACGTAGCGCAAAATAGTTGCCGCCTAGTATAGTGGCAAAGCCACCCAAGTAGAACCACTTGCAGCTCCAATAGTACGACTTGGAGCCGAAATGGCATCATTTGCACACTAAATGGTACTACTTGCATATCAAGTTGTACCTGCAGCTCTGGTAATACGACTTACAGACAAACAGTGCCATTGGCAGGCCAAATGGCAACACTTGATGCCCAGCCCTAGAAAACATA